ACCACCTCCATCAACTTAGCCATATCCTGAGCGCAAACCCTAAACCCTAAACCCTAAACCCTAAACCCTAAAGCCTAGAAAACCCACAACACAACGCGGGGCGGGGCGAACACGGGCACCACCGCTCGAGGCAACCAGGGGCCCCTCAGGGGCCCCCCAGGGGCCCCCTCCTCCCTCTTGTATTGCATACAAGGCTAGAAGTGGGGGCCCCCCAAAAGAAGCCAAGATATTAAGAGGAAGACAGGGGCCCCCTGCATGAACTCATCCCCCTGAGGAAACCCTAAACCCTAAACCCTAAACCCTAAACCCTCCCTGGGGGCCCCGCGTACCTCTAAGGCTCGGTGTTTCTGCTGCAGTGCCTCCAGCTGCATGCACACAGGGGGCCCACAAGTTGTCGATATAATACTTCTATTAAACTTAGCCCCTAGGGGGCCCCCCGCCACGGTGTTGCAGCAAAGGGGGGGGCCCCCATGGGGGGCCCCCCCTGGGAGGGCCCCCAAGAGAGAACGGCTGCAGGGTACTTGTGCTTACCTCTCGGCAGCTGGGGCAACCCCAATCGAGCCTCCCCATCTTGAGCTATACTAAACCCTAAACCCTAAACCCTAAACCCTAAACCCTAAACCCTAGTCTATAGAAACCCTAAACCCTAAACCCTAGGCCCCTGGCCTGCACACATGGGGGCCCTTGGCCTCATTAGAAAGGCCTTCGATGCGTCTGTGGGGGGACCAGCCACGGGGCCCCCCAGGGGCCCCCCTGGCTAGCTACTGTTAACAAACCTCAACGGGGGGCCCCTCACTCTGCTTTGGGGGCCCCCTAAATAGGGTACTGGCTTAATAGGAGTAAAAAAGAAAACAAAAACGACTCAAAAAAAACAAATTAAACAAATAAAAACAAAATAAAAGGGGATGGAGAAGATCCAGAGGAAGCGGCTTAGGAGTCTCTAGTCCCGCAGCAGCAGCAGCAGCAGCAGCAGCTGCTGCTGCTACTGCTGCTGCTGCTGCTGCTGCTGCTGCAGCGCAAGGGAAACAGCAATTAGAAGACAAAAAAGTAATTGTATTTTGTTATAAATAATAAAATAAAAAGAGAGAGAAAAAGAAAAAAATATTTACATTAACATTTACCTATTAAGCTTACTGTGCGTCTGCTGCTGCTGCTGCTGCTGCTGCTGCAGCAGCAAAAGCAGCAGCAGCAGCAGCAGCAGCAGCAATAGCGGGATATTTGAGTAGCTGGTGTATAATATATTTAATTATAATTATTTATATAAATAAAATAATATTTATTGTCTATATAAAAACAAAAATATATGAAGGGGCCCCCACTGACACCGAAGGCTCCTACTGCAGCACCACGCCCCTCTTTGGGGCTGTTGCTGTGCTTCTGGGGTTTAGGGTTTAGGGTTTAGGGTTTAGGGTTTAGGGTTTTAGTTTGTATGCATATGAATTAAGTAGACGTCTATCTTTTTCTTCTTTTATACAACTCTGTCTCCTTTTGTCTGCTGCACCAACAAAGGTGTATTGAGCGCCGCTGCTGCTGCTGTTGCTGCTGCTGCTGCTGCTGCTGCTATTGTTGCTGCTGCTGCTGCAGCAGAGATAATTAGGTGCTGGGGGTCTCCGCTGAAGCCCCTCTTCTACACAACTGCAATCATATAAACCCTAAACCCTAAACCCTAAACCCTAAACCCTTATTGAGAATGAGTTTAACCGAGGGGATAACACCGGGCCCCTCTCCGCCTCTGCCGGTGGGGCCCCCCGGTGGGGCTGGTACAGGTGAAGAGGGTACTGATGGGGGCCCCGGGGGGGCCCCCAGGGGGGCCCCCGGGGGGCCCCCCAAGGATGAGGATACATACAGTGATGCTGCCTCTTCTATGTCTGCTGACGAGCTGCTGTCTCCTGAGGAGAAGCTGCGTGCTGCTGCTGCACTCAAAGATGAGGGAAATAATTTGTTTAAAGAGCAGCAGTATGAAGAAGCATTAAAAAAATATAAGGTAAATAGAAAGGGGGGGGGAGGAGGGGGAGAGAAAGG